TCTGAAGGGGTTTGCTCAGGGAGAAGTGATGCCTTTCCTCCCTGGAGAATCTTTCTCCTTTCCAGAGGCACTCAGGAGGGTTTTGCAGTGCTGCCTGCAGGGGCTGCAGTTCTCGGTCCCACTGCTGGGATGGGAAAGTGCCTGAAGTGAGGCAGATTTTCACTCTTATAGCATGGAAAAAAAAAAAAATCCCGTTTTTCCCAGAAACCCAAGGGTTTCCTAACAGCATTAATTTCTTACAGCTCCAGATTTTGGCTGTAGAGAGGCCACTCCTGCCTGCCTCTGCCCTGGATCCACATCTTGCTCTGGCAGACTCAGTTCCTGAGCAGCCTCTGCTCCTCTTCTGCCCCCATGTCCCCTCCAGACAGACCTGCTGTCACCTTCCTTCTCTGACCCATAGAGCTGCTGATGCATCATCCTCAGACCTCAGCTGGGGCTCAGCATCCTCCTCACCTGCCCTGCCCCCAAAACCAGGGTGCATCACTAATTAACACAGCTGATTAGCAGCTCTGGAGGATGAAGCTCTTACACGCAGGGCAGGGGGCTGCATTCAGCCCCACTCCCAGCTCAGCACTGCGCTGAAATTAGGCTGCAGCCCTCACTCAGGAGTGGAACTGGGGCTGACAAATCCTGATACCTCTCCCCTGGGTTAACAAGGGGGATAAGGGATTCTCCCCAGAGCTGTGCGGGCAGACAGATGGGTCAGGGCAGAGCAGAGGTGGGTCTGGGTGTCGGGGCAGGGGAATGTGCAGCCTCCTTGGGGTGCCCATCCCCAGGGCAGGGCAGTGCAGGGCATCCCGCAGGCACAGCAGAAGGGCTGAGCCAGGATTGATCCCTCTCTGCACCTTGCAGGAGTGGGCGGACGTGTGTTGCAGGGGGCTCCGGAGCGTCCATGCCTACATCCTGGTCTATGACATCTGTTGCTTTGACAGCTTCGAGTACATCAAAACCATCCGCCAGCAGATCCTGGAAACAAGGTAGGGATGGCTTTTGGATGGTGCATCCCCACGGTGGTAGAGCCCCACGGCTCCTGGCAAGGGAGTATGGCATGAAGGGGGAATGTCAGAGATGAGATATTAGACTGGCACGAAGCCCCTTTGCAGCGATGGCAGCCCAAAAACCAAGAGAAGAGCAGGACCCCAGGCAGGTATCCCCTGTGGGTGAGCCCTGAGTGAGCAGCTGGAGATGGCATGAAGGTGGCTGGCCATGGAGAGGGACAAGGGGACAAGGCACCCTGCACTTGGCGAGCCACAGCCAAGAGCCCGTTTGGGTTGGGGTGAGCTCTGCGGGCCGCTGGGCTGTCGCGCTGTGCCCCGTCCCCTCCCATCCTCTCTCACCGCCCGCCCTCCCCAGGGTCATCGGCACCTCGGAGACGCCCATCATCATCGTGGGCAACAAGCGGGACCTGCAGCGGGGCCGGGTGATCCCGCGCTGGAACGTCTCCAACCTGGTGAAGAAGACGTGGAAGTGCGGCTACATCGAGTGCTCGGCCAAGTACAACTGGCACATCCTGCTGCTCTTCAGCGAGCTCCTCAAGAGCGTGGGCTGCGCCCGCTGCAAACACGTCCACACCACCATCCGCTTCCAGGGCGCCCTGCGCAGGAACCGCTGCACCATCATGTGAGCCCCCCCTGCCCCCAGGGACCCCCGGACCCGCCTCTGGGGCAGCCCAGCCTCGGGGACCCCGGCGGTGCCGCTCCCAGGGCGCTGGGAGCCGTGCTGGAGGCACCCCGGGGGTTGCGGTGACATTTGGGGACAGGGCACTTGGGCAGGTGATGCAGTGGCCAGGCTGCCTGGGGATGGTGAGGGGTGAGGGAGGTCCTCGGTTAAACCCCTGAGCTCCCTCCAGATTTCCAGTGCTTGAGGCCAAATCCATCCCAGGGGGGTGTAAGGGCACTGGAGGGTGGAGGAGGTGCCTCAGAGGGTGCCCAGATTTTGGTTGATGGTTCATCCTTGCCCTGGCAGCACAGGGGCAACGCTTGCTGCTGCCTGCCTGCCGTCACCTGCTCCTGGAAGGGAATTATCCAGCACCTGTATCCCGGTGTTCTGGGGGTGGTTCTGTCTCTGGGGCATAGGGAAACAGGAGTCCTGCTTTTCCCCTTGTGGAGCTGGGATTTCTCCCTGTGGAGGGCAGAGCAGCCAGGTTTCATGGGCTGTCTTTTGACTCAGTCGGGTCAGATTTCCAGGCGGAATTTCTGGATGAAAGCAAGAAAGGGGAAACAAACTAAGTCCCAATCCTGCTGCTGATACCCCAGGAGCTGCGTTCTGCCTTCCCAGGGCTCTGAGCTCCCCTGTGCCCCAGCACAGCCCGGGAAGGCTTCTCCTCCCCCCCAGCCTGTGAACACCAAATAATCTGGGAACGCTCCTTGCCGGGCAGGTCACCCCTCTGCTACCTCTCGCCCTGGGCTCAGCAGGTGACCGGCTTTGCACGGCTCCACCCCAGCCCCCGGGGTGTCCCGGGCAGGTGGCAGCCCCTGTGCCACCGCAGCCACCGGCAGTGCCACCAGGTCCCACCCCCCGGGTTTTCCCCAGGGATGTCGCCTCCATCCCGGTGGGACGCGGCCGTGGCAGCAGCAGGGAGTTGGAGCAGCACTTCCAGTTGCATTCTTGGGGTTTTTTTTTCTTTCTGCATATCCCTAATAGGAAAGTGAGCCCCCCATTTTTTAATTATTGTTATTTTTTAATCTTCTGGTTTATGTTTGCACCAGAGTTGCAGCTCGCCTGCATCCTGCCCTACAGGGCGGGTTGGCAAAGGGCAGCCCCTGTTGGGAAATGATGATGGGGTGGTGAAAAGTGAGCAAGAGGCCGAGGGGGTCGTGGTTTCTCCATGGCTGGTCCCTGTGAAACACAGGGAGACACCATCCTCCCGTCCTGAGGCGGGATCTGTGTCTGATCCATCCTCCAGCAAATCCATCTCGGTGATTCCTGCTGTAGCAAGGAGCTGGAGGGGCTCAGCGCTGCTCTGGGCAGCAGAACAGGACACCCAGCCCTCACTCCCACCACAGCCGGGTGTCCGTGGCCCAGCAGCTCCACTGTGCTCTTGGAAATGCTTCCCATTAGAGCATCTCCAGCTGAGCTCCAGTGCCTCTCACCACCCCATCCCTGTGCCAGGGCTGGGGCTTCATCCTGCCCCTCCCTCCCTGCTTAGGGAATCAAACCCCCTGCTCCAAAATTTAAAAAAAAAAAAAAAAAAGGGGAAAAAATTAGGAAAGGTAATGGGGGACATGTGTCCATCTCAGCTGGGAAGGGCAGTGGCATTTGTCACCATCCCTTGCCTTCATGGCAAACCTGGCTTCCCCATCCAAGCTCATCCTGTCAGGATTTATTAACACGTGTAAGTCCACTTATCGATCTCTGGCTAGAGCTTTATCCCTCCAAATTGTCTGAGAAGGAAATTCCTTGGTAAATGCTAATAATAAAGCATTTATGAAGTGCTCCAATGTACACATATCAACGACTAAGCCAATACATTGTTTGTTATAACCCTGTAGCCTGCAGTTTATAGCACAATTAGTTACAGGTTTTTATAGCATCTATTTAGTATTTTGAAGAAAAAAAAAAGGTTATAAATATAATTGTTATATTCTACTGTACTTTATAGACAGAGGAAGTTATATTAGTAATAATAACAACTCTCACTGCTTCGACAGCATTTCCCAGCTCCCGGGAAAACGAGGGCTACCAAGAGCTACTTTCCCAAGAGCCCAGGAAGGGGTGGGTGGTGCTGGTGGCACCCTGGGGGCAGGCAGGGAATCCCAGGCAGGAAGATCCGAGGTGTCCAGGCGCAGGGATTGGAGCACACGGGAGCACGGCAGCAGCCACGAGCGCCCTACTCACACCTTACTACAGATTTACAACTCACCCAACACCACCCTGGTCCTGCTGAGAGCAACCTGGGCCTGGCACAGCCTGGGATGTCCCCAGGGCAGTGCCAGGTTTCTGCCCCCGTGCTCGTGGAGGTGATGCCTGGGTTTGGTTCAGCCCCACCAAGGATTCTTCCCTCTCCCTCTCTCCCTCCTCCTGCCCCACTGAGCATCCCAGTTGCCTGGACTTGGCTTTCCTTTCCTCCCTGGACTCCTTTTTGGAGATTCTCGAGGTGTCGACACCGCCTGTGATGCCCTGCACCTCCTTCTTTGAAATTGAATTAAAAATCAGGTCTGTCCCCCTTGCTCTGTACCAGCCTCAGGAGTGTTTTTGCCAGCAGGTTTTGCATTCCAGGAGTCCCAGCGCTCACATTTGCTGCTCCTCTGCAGGGAAGTGGGGCTGATTTCATCCTCTCATGGAAAATGGGGCTCTCTTGGGCCTTGTGGGGTTCTCAGAGGGACGTTTGCTGTGCCCACATCAGATTATCCTCTCTCCCTTCCCACCCACACAGAAAAGATGTGGAAATAGAAGAGCTTTGGTTTATCTCTATTGCACAAACAGCATTGCTGGGTCCGTGGCTGTGAGCCCAGAGTGCAGCAGAGGCTGCTGTGACCCTCGGTGACATCCATCACCCCAGAAGGGACCACAGCCACCACGGGGTCAGCAAGGGTCCTCTCCTGGGACATCCTGACCTGAGTGACCCAAGCAGGCTCTTGGAGCTGTCAGACACGAGGCTCACTGGCCCCATGGTGCAGAATGGGGAACATTGAGGTAAGGGATGGTTTTAATGGATGTCAAGGGTGGGGTGTCCCCACTTCAGGGGGGGCTAAACCCCTCTCCTGCAGAGAGCATCCCATTTTCTCCATTTGGGGCTGGATTTTTCCACCCAAACCAGTACAGAAGTGCCTGCTTAGCAGGATTACCAGTACAGAAAAAAATCCATTGGGAAGGAGGGGGTGCAGCTCTGAAAGTGAGGTGGAATCCCCCGGGGTTGCCTGCGAGCAATCCCAGTGTGCTGCCCTTGGGATCCTCGGGCACTGCAGCTCCAGTTTCAGCTCCAGCACCGCTCCCACCTTTGGGGGGAGGAGTCTGTCTGTCCGTCCATCCGTCCATCCCCACCGACTCTCGGGGTGGGCTCAGACCCACGACTCCTCATCATCCTCGCTCAGCCAGGTGCCGCTGTCACCCGGGGACAGTTTGGCCGTGGGGCTTGTGCTGCCGGTCTGGGGGGCTCGGGGGGGCCCCGGGGGACGGTGCTGGCCCCGGGGGGCAGGGGGGCGATGCCCCAGCGGGGTGGGGATGCGGGAGGGGCGCTTGCCCGGCCTGTGGTCCCGCCGGGGACGCACCTTGGGCCGCAGCTTCAGCTTGTAGATGGAGGGGACACGCTCGGGCTTCTTCAGGCACCGCCGGGGCTTGGCGGCGGGGTTGGCCCTGAGTCCCCGCGGGGTCTGGCCCCCCAGACCCGGCTGCTCTGCCTCCCCCGGGGCTGGGAGCTGCGGGACAGCTCCTGCGGGTGTTTTGGGGACCTGGCTCCGCGTCCCCACAGGGCGCAGGGGCTGCGGCCCGCGGGACAGCTCCTCCACCACCCTGTCATAGCCGGGGGGCTGCGTGTTCCCACAGCACCCCCGCAGCCCCTCGGCCCCATTGCCGCAGGCACCCCCGGCTCCATGCTCTGGCACCCGCGGTCCCTCGGCACCCCCAGCCCTTGTGTTCGGGGCTGGGTGGCACTGCCGTGTCCCCTGGGGACCGTCCCCAGCGGCACAGACCTTGCACCCCTCTGCAGGGCGGCCCAGAGGGGTGGGGGGCCGGGACGTGGCCGGGCTGGCTTTGATGGAGGATTTAACTCTGCTGTCCAGTTTCGGGGGTTGGCTGGAGGAATTTCGGGGTGAGGGCTGTGGGCCCCGGCCAAGGGCTCCCTGTCGCCCTTCCCGTGAGCTTTTCAGGCTCTGTGAGTCTCCCGGGGCATCCCGGTGTGAGGAGGAGGCACGGACCTTTAGGGGACTGGGGGCTCGGGCCTTTAAGGGACTGGGGGCTCGAGGTGTCACTGTGGTGGGTGCCCTCGTTTCCTGTGGCCTGGCAGCCACTACAGATGATTTTGCTCCTTGCTGGGCCCTTCTTGGAGGTGCTGGTACCGTCCGTGGGCTGGGAGCTGCGGACCTGCCCCGTGCCGGTTCCACAGGGGTGGTTTTCCCTGGGCTGGTCCCTTGCGGTGCCCTGGGGACCCCCGAGCCGTTCGGGAGGCTCAGCCGGGACGGGGTGGGTGCCCGGCCCCCCGCCCCGTGCCCAGGGGAGCAGGATCGAGCAGGTGACCGGGATGGTGGCGGCTGCCTCCCCAGAGGGACAGCGGGTGGCTCCCGCATCCTGCAGGGACAGAGAGCGGAGAGGAGCAGGGAGCTGCTGCATCCCGCCCCATCCCCCCTGGAGCTGGGCACCTCCAGAAGGGACGGGGGGGGAAATTTCGAGGATGTGAGAAAAACTGCTCTGAAGTCAGGCAGTTTGAGGCACGAAGCATCTCTGCACCACTTACCTGCCCGAAGGGACCCTGCGGGGCTGCGCTGGCTCCCGGTGAGGGCTGGCACCCTGCTGGCGACCCGAGCTCTCTGTCGAGGGGGTGGCAGGGGACCGGGGGCCGGGGGGGACACGGCCCCCCCAGGTGACGGGGGGCAGGGGGCTCTGGGAGCGGCTGACCAGCAGTGCGGGCTGGGGGCTGCGGGCGGCCGGGCACAGCCGCACCTCGTGCTGCACTTGCTGCTGCGGGCTCCGGGCTTTGCAGGATTGTTTGTGAGCTGTGGGGACAATGCGGAGGGCTCAGCACCCCTGTCCACTGCACCCACCCCCGGGTGCAGCCCACCCAGCCATCGCTCAGCATTCAGCACCCCGAGGGTGCCGGCAGAAAGCTGCGCTCCCTGCAAAGTGGTTTTTGGGGTCTGGCTCCATCCAAAAGTCTTCCATGACCTCTAGTGGCCACCAAAGCCAAAGAAAGTCCCCAAAACCCGACATTCCTGGGCAAAATAACGAGGCATGGCTGTACCAAGCCGCCCGTTCCTGTAAACGTCCCCGAGAAGCATCGAGACCAACCACAAACCCCTCACCCCTCGCCCAGCCGCGGGGTTTGGGGACGCGGGGACTCACAGAGCGAGGTACAGCGACACGGGTCGTGCTTGTCCAGGTAATGCTCCAGCGTGTCCCAGCCGCCCCCGACCCGCACCATGACGTGCTGCCGCAGGATCTGCACGGGAATGTCCAAGCCATGGGACACCAGCAGCCTGGGGGTGCCAAGCTCGGCCGGGCTTCGAGAGCTGTGGGCTGTGGCACACCAAGTGCCACCAGGTGTCCCAAAGGACGTCCCTGGCTCAGCTCCTGCGGCCATCCCGACAGGTTTATTTCATCACCACAAGGAGGGAATCCTTTTGGAAAATCTTTTGGAAAACCTTTGTCATGTGCTGAGTTCCTTGGCCAGGCTCAGGATTCAGAGCATCCCAGCGTTCCCATTGCTGGGTGAGACCAGGCTTTGACTCTGGGGGATGTCAGGTTTTGTCCCACATGCATGGATGGTTAAATCCATACCAACATCTATCGCAGGGCTGAGCTTCCCTGCTGCCCTGCTTTGGGAACAATGGTCGCAACTCTCCCAAGGGCCCCTTCTGGGGGATTATGGAAAAGGGGTCATGGCAGCAGAGCAGAATTCCTGATGTTTTTCCCCCAAAAGCACAGGGTGAAGCAGACTCACTCGGACAAAGATGAGGGTGTCAGAGCCCCCCACACGGTATTTCCCTTCCGAGATCTTGATCATGGGGAACTGGACAGGGCAGGTACAGCGGCTCACCAGGTGCTGGACCTGCAGGCAGCAGGGATGGGCCCTCACCAGGGCTGCTGGGAAAGGTCCTGGGGCAGCCATGCCCATCCCCATCCATCTCCATGCCCATCCCCATGCCGCCCCATGCCCCTCTGTACCATCTGGTCGAGGTTGTTGAGGTCCCGTGGTGTCCTGGGGGGCCGGGCCAGGGCTGTGTCCATGGGAGGCAGGTCCAGCTCCTGCCTGATCTCCTCCTCGATCTCCTCCTCCATCTGCACCAGGGTGGGGGCCCGCATTCCGAAGCGGGAAGCGTGGCGTGCCAGCTCCAGCAGGCACAGCACGAAGTTCTTCTCGTTCTTCCTCAGCACCAAATCCTCTGTCTCGAACATCAGGACATCTGGGCAGGGCAGGGCTGGACTGAGCCAGGGCTGGCACGTGGGGATGTGGACAAAGGGGATGGGGGGCACAGATGGAGTCAAAACCCACCCAGAAGGGTGGAGCCCTTCACCGGAGCCATCCCACCAGGAATATGGCTGGGTTCAACAAGAGTTGGGATAAAGGATAAAGAGGAAGAGCCTTTCCTTTTGGGCATCTACAGCCACAAAACTCAGTGTCTGAGTGCCCTGAGGATGTCTTGCTCTGTGCCATTCCCCTTCCTGGGCATCCATGGTGGTAGGACAGAGTGACAGATGCTTTGCTCAGAGCCAGGACTTCTCCTGCTGTCCTTAGGGCTGGGATCGTGCTGTGCCTGGCAGGGACACACTGTGCCATCCACCCTTTCCTTTTCCATTCCTCCTGTGCGTATTTGCACCCAAGCAAACACTCCAGCCATGTGCCACTCCAGCACCCTGAAAAGCTGCTGCCAAGCCTTTAAGACCTTGCACAAGGAATGCCAGCTCAGCGATGCAGGCACATGGTGCTGCCCCATGCCAGGGTGGCGCTGGGTTTGGGAGACACATGGGAAAACATGGATAGGCTGGAGGGGACTTGAACATGGGGACATGGGACAGCTGGAGCCCTACCTTTGATATCCATTTCCTTCCTGCACCACTGGATGAAGTTGGAGACGTTGTCCCTGGCCTGGAAGGTGCCTGGCTGTGCCGTGAGGTTGCAGGTGACACCAGTGGTGGGCAGGTGGAGGTGCTGGGCCACGTCAGGGCAGGCACGGGTGAACTCCCCGGCCACCTGGGTGACGTGGTTGGCGTGGGAGCAAAGCACAGCCCCAGTCTCCAGCACCTCCAAGAAGGTGCCCACCTCGATGTCAAGGTCGTAAAGCTCCTTCAGCCACTCTGCCAGGTCCTCCTTCATGGCGTACAGGTACTGCTCGCTGGACTGGTAGGGACGGATGCTCCGTGCCCCCGTGCCCGGTGTGCCCCACATTCTGCCATAAGACTGGGAGGAGGTTGAGGGAAAAGGATGATGGGGACGTGGGCAGCTGTCCCAGCCCTGTCCCCAGCCCACCTCCCCGGCAGCCACACTCACCTGGTGCCACTTGTTCCCTGCCACAGGGGGTGGTGACACTGTCCCGGTGTCCAGAGCCCTTCTGGGGTCCCAGGGCTGTAATGCTGCTGGGGAGAGGAAATCACCCTGCTGGGCAGTGGGTGTTTTGTTTCCTTCCCAAGTGCTGCTCCCTGCTCCTTGGTGACAAGGGACTGGCTGCAAACACTCCCTGTTAACCCTTCAGCACCTGCTCCTCTGTCACAGCCCAGCTCCTCCCCAGCCATGACAGGGGTGGATTTTCCCCCCAAGGGCAGGAAGGAGTTAGAGAGCAGCTCATCAGCACCCAACTTGCTCCCAACCATAGGAGGGGGCTTCCCCCTTCCCAAAACCCCTACACCCACCTCCACCACGGGTGAGGTGACCTGAGGGCCATAAGGTGCATCTTCAGGGCAACCTCAAGGTGAGAAGGGTTTATTTTCACAGCCACTTTTGGGCTTTCTCTGCTCTGTGCTCCCTTCCCTCATTGCCCACAGCAGCGAGGTCTTTGGGAAAAGCCAAGCTCCTGCAGGGCTGGAGTGACTTTAAGGAGTTGGGGCTTTAAGGAAATAACTGCACATGAGTGGGCACCTCTGGGAATGTGGGATACTCCCTCCACAACCCAGGCCTTGCAGAGCTGCCACAGCACCCAGGTACTTCTGCAAAAAACAAATCTACCAGGGAACTGTTAGTGCCTCAGGACTAAAACAGAGCCTCTCCTGGGCTTTGTGGGTTTCCTTGCTGTGTGGGGGGACCCATCCTCTCCCTGGAGCCAGCTGCTGATGTCACTGCAGGTCACTGTCCAGCTGGGGTCATTTTGGGGGAGGGAATACAAGAATCCCAGCTATTCTGTCTGGGGAATGTGTGGCAGGCTGGAGGAATCTCTGCCTGATGTGCCCAGCCAGGGAGCCCAGCAGGAGAAAAGAACCCTTGAGAGGCTGGATTTCCATCCAGGGCACCCAGTGGGGTGAATTGAAAGGCTCAGGGTGTGAATTCACCTCCCCCAGACCCCCCCAAATCGATGGGGTACAGGTGACACAGTAGAGTGACCCCTTCTGCCTCTGCCAGCAATGCTGAGCCCAGCCCCAGCCCTGCAGCATCACAGGGCCCCAGGGCATCCCACAGGACACAGCCCCAGGAAACACAGGGCAGCAAACCAGGGAAGAGATGGAAAACCCAAAAAGGGGAGAGGATTTGAGGTAGTCCCATCCTCAGCCTCCAGTCACGCAGCACATGGGATGCCTGGCTTTCTCCTAAGGGGGCAGGAAAAGGGATAATCAATTAATTCAGCCTGGGGAAAAAACCTATTAACACATCCCAAAGCATGGAAAAATCCTCAGTAATTTGAGATGAAGTAGGAAAGAAAATTTTCATGTTTTCATCACCATCGAGTTTTCAGTGGGATCCATCTCCCCTCTTTGATCCTGTGAGCATGAAAGCTGAGGCCAAATTCAGCCATCCCTACTCCAAACCCAAACACCCACAGGCATCTTAAACACAACCCTGTCAGGAAACTGGAGATTTGACTTAAAAAAAACCCCAAACCCAAAGTGTGACATGAAAACAAGCACAAATCCCAGGGCCACATATCCAGAGGTTGGTTTTATTTGCTGTCAGGTCTCCAAGCCCTTGGGACTCCCTGCAGGAAACGTCACCTCATTATCATTCAATTCCAATGAAAATGCTGCAGGGCCGTTTCTTTGGCAACATGGAAAGTCCCCTGAGGTTTCAGGCAGATGAAGACCCCGTGTCTGTGTCTGCTCATGAAGGGCTCACTCACAAGTGTTGTGGGGAATGGGAAGAGTGCTGGCTCCCCATCCTGCCAAACCCAGCTCAGCTGGCACCTGGCAGCACCAAAAGCCCTCAGGATGTACCAGCCCTGGCACCCTGCTCTGCAGGGAAGGTCTAGAAAGGGGAAAGATGAGTAAAAAGCTGCTGGCATCAGGAGCTGGCACCCCAGCACAGCACCCTGACATGGCACAGCAGGACAAAGCAGGGCTGGGGTCTGAGTCCTGGGAGAACCTCTGGGTAAATGGTTTAAATAAATCATTTGATAAAGCTGAGGCCTTCTTGCTCAGCACCAATGCCTCAGAACTGCAGCCCTGGGAAGCTGAGCTCCATCCCCAGCCCTGGGGCACGATGGCCCTTTGCAGACTGAACTGGTGACCGTGTCCAGGAGCGTTTCCAGGTGGGGAGTCTGCCTTGGGAAAGGAATGAGGAATGTGCAGTCCATGTCCCTGTGGGCCCGCATGCACAGACATGTCCCTCTGTCCTGCTCACCCTCTCCTCTTCCCCTCCTCCCCCAGTTATTTGTCCCTCCTGTTCATCCAGGTGGGGCCCAGGGACTCAGAAATTCGCTGATCCCGTCCCTTGCAGAGACAGCAGAGCACTTTCTCTGCACACAGTGAGGGCTGCCAGGTGAGCACAACCCTTGTTAGACACTGGAAAACCCAGCCAGGCACCCCAAACCCATCTGAAAGTCAGTGCTCCTGCTGCCTGTGAGCAGCACAGTGACACGGCCAGCAGCTCAGCTGAGCCTCCCCTCTCCCTCCACCTCTACACCAAACCCCTCTGATTTCAGCCCCAAAATCCCAGCTGGTGCCTCAGCAGAGCACTGGGATGTGGGCACAGCCAGCAAAGCATCCCCAGCCCTCCATACCCTGGGGTCTGTACAAACAGCAGGGGCAAAGCTCCACATGGACCCAAATGTTTGTCCAAATGTCTTTTTTCTTGTAGTTTTAAGCAGGAAACGTTCTGAGTCTGTTTTTTAAAAACATCCAAACTCCAAAGCCAGCAGCAGGGAGACACTTCTCCTCCTGATGGAGGGAAAATGACAGATATCAACAAGTATTAGCAAAAATATCAAAAAGTATCACCAAACCCCAGTACTGTTTTGAAAAATATGTGTAACAATATCCTGAAAGTTAACAGAAATTGGTGTGTTTGCAGTCTCCATGGTTCATACTTTTTTTTTTTGGTTTTTTGGTGGTCTTTTAAAAAAATACTGTGTCCCAAAGCCTCCAGGCCACTTGGCTGTGGCACACCTGTCCCAGCTGCATCCGAGTTTTGCTGGGTCACTGCTCCACCATCCCACAGCTCCAGCCAGCCCCTGCCTGACCATCCTCAGACAGGAGCACAGAGTCACACAAAGCGGGATCCAGGCAGCGCAGAGCGAGCTGAGGTCCAGAGCCCCGTTTCACCCCATCAGAAAAGAACCTGCTCACTGTTGGCATCCCAGCAGCCCATCCAGGCGAGCTGCGTGGCCCATTTGCCGGTGGCCACCACTTTCAGCTTATCCTGGTCGAATTTCCAGTACTGCTCATCCCGAAAGAAGTAGACGGAGCGGTCGCGGTGGGTGAGAGCCCCGGCCGTGCCCGGGGGCAGCCCTGCCCAGTCCCGCAGGCTCCGAGGGTAGTAGGGCTCCACGCCCAGCGGCTCCTCGCCCAGCACGAAGTACTTGGGGCCTTTGAAGAGGACGAGCCGCCGGAGCTGCTGGAAATAAAGCGCCGTGTCCGGGTGCCGAGGGAGCCCCAGGGCGCTGCATTTTCGGGGAAATCCTGCCTCCAACTCGGAGCCTGTGTAGCGCCAGCAGCGGCCACCTGGGGGGACAGGGAGGGGTTAGAGCACAGCCCAGTGGGGTCTGTGGCAGGACGAGCTCCAGGAGATGTGGGCAGACCCGGCCGTGGGACTCAGTGACATCCATCCCACCGGTGACCCAACCAGAACCACTGCCTGTGGACCAGGCTGGGGGAAAACTGAGGCACGGCTGCTAAGGGGCCTGAAGGCATGGAAAGGGACCACCAGGGACAGAGCAGGGCCACCATCATGCTGCTCCTGGCAAACCACCCCCTGATCCTGCACAGCGAATGGGACAGACAGAAACTGACCCAACCGAGACTGGGACACCCAAACCAGCGCTGCAGCAGGAATTGCAACGGGGACCGGTGGCTTGGCTGTCCCCAGAGCACCCTGTCCCCACAACAGGGCAGACAAAAGCCCCTTTCTGCTCACACGGCACAGCCTGACGCAGCCCTGGGGAGGATGGAGGGAGCGGCGAGGGCTGGGGAGGCAGAGGGGCTTTGGCTCTCACCCAGCTGCAGCACAAAGCCCCTTTTCTGAGCAACCAGTGACTGCTTTCCATTAAAAGCTGGGGCTGACCCTGGCAGCCAGACTGCCTGGTTTGACCTTCCTCTCCTCATCTGGCTGCCGGGCAGCTCGTGGATGGTATCCCATCTCTTTGGGCAGTTTATGGATGGTATCCCATCTCTTTGGGCAGTTTATTCCAGCTCCTGGGGCAGTTCATGGATGGTGTCCCAGCTCTTTGGGCAGTTTATCCCAGCTCTCTGGGCAGTTCATGGATGGTATCCTAGCCCCTGGGGCAGTTCATGGACGATATCCCAGCTCCCAGGGTAGTTTATGGATGATATCTCAGCTCCCAGAGCAGCTCAGCCTCCAGGCACAACACAGGGGTCCATGTGCACCATGAAACCCCCACGCACTCCTCTGCACCTCGTGTTTTGGGGAGCATTTTCTCCCCAAGACAAGCCACTGCACCTGGATTTGCTTAGACACCCCAGTGAGTGCTGCTCTCCTGATGGGGAAACTGAGGCACGAGGAGGTGATGTGGCTGCCAGGGCATCCATCCATCACAGGGCATCGAGCCCAGGGTTTTGCACACCCAGGACAATGGCCCAGCTCTGCACTGGGAGGGGACCAGTGGGAGGGGACACAAACAGGAGTTCTGTGGCTCCAACCACAGCACAGGCAGGAGCAGTGGCAGCCCCGAGGGGAGCCCCCTGCCCCCTCACCCACCTTTGAAGAAGTAGAATTTTCCACTGAGCTGGGACCAGGCGCAGGCGTCGATGCTGGCAGGGAGGCCGGGCCAGCGTGGCTGCAGTGGCTGTGGGTCACTGGCATTGCCACTGGCTGACACCACCCAGTAGTGGCTGCCCTTGAAGATGTAGAGGTTGTGATCCCCATCTGTGAGGCAGAGGGAGGGTGCCCCAGGTAAGAAATTTTACTGAACCACCCCCCACTGCTGCCCAGCCTCTCTCTCCTCCCCATGCAGGCTTTGAGGACCCTCAGGGTCTGGATGCCTCCTCCTGCCTTTCCAGCCACCCCCTCAGCTTCCATAACTCATTGCCTCCCCTCCAGCCATGAGAGGATAAATGCTGACCACACTTCGAGGCTTATCTTGCACAGCTGAGCTCCTGCAGTCATTAATTCTTGCCATGGCCCAAGTTTTAGGATGTTTTCCCTGCTCCTGACACATTGCTGTGCCCTCAAGGTGCATCACTGTGCATCAGTGATGCCACCAGTGCCAGGAGCTGTGGACCAGTCAAACCCACCTTTCCCACCCTGGGAGCTGCAGCAGCACTGGGACAAGGGGTAGGGGTGCACGTTCTGGGAGAGGGTCACACTGGCCAGCACCCACCCGCGGTTATGGCATCGAAGAAGGAGTGACAGTAGTAGGTGCTGAGGCTCCTCTGTCGGTCCCTGCCATAAATGTCCATGTTCCAGTCCTGGAAGTGAGTGAAGACCTTTCCTGGGAGCTGGATGGCCGAGCCCTTGGAGGGCTTTCCTGGGATGGAACAAGGGGTGATGAGTCCGGAGAAAGGGCAGAGAAACAACTTTTCCCAGAGCACAGGGCTGAGACTCCCAAGACTCCAAAGACTCCTTGTCCCACTGTCTAATTTCTATCCCACTCTATATGATGGTGGCAAAAATCCCTTGGTACCCCAGTAAACATGCACCAGCAGACAAGTGGGCAGCAAATCCAACCTTCCCTGCCCTGGAGCCCTGGTACCTGTCCCACCTCTCCTGCTTTTTCCTCCCCAGCCACACACAGGGATGAGGCCCACGTGGCTGTAGTCCTGTGCCCTTTGGAGACCTGCTCCCATGCCTACTGCTCGCTTTCCATCTCAGAGAACAACCCTGGAGGAACCGAGGGATGCTCAGGGAAGCCAGGCTCACCGTACAAGTTCTGGACAGCCAAGATGTCATCCCAGCTGAGGACAAAATCCTTGCTGAGCTTCTTGTAGTAAGGGGACATCAGGGCGCTCTTGACGGGCGAGTGCTGCAGCCCCAGCGTGTGCCCGACCTCGTGGGCCACCACGATGAAGAGGTTTCGCCCTTTGCCGCTGTGCAGGGACCAGCGCTCGGCGCTGTCAAAGTGGGCTTCTCCTCGCCGGGGGAAGAAGGCGTGAGCCAGGGCACCTCCTGGGGACACGAGAGCCATCAGGGACCACGGAGCAGTGGGCACATGCAGCTCTGGTTTGCCTAAATGTGCGCCAGTTTTAGGTCTTTTCGGAGGAGCCCGTGTTTGGAGGGTGTTGTCAAATGGGGAGGGCTCCTTGAGGGACTATAAGGAACATCTCAGCTGCCTTGCTGGCAGACCTCAGCTGCAGAGCTGGGAGAGGGGATCCCAAATCAGAGAGCAAACCGGTGCAAACTGGGCTAGAGAGAGTGCAGAGCCTCCACCACCCCCCAGCCCGTCACAAGCCCAGCCCTCCTCCCTGCCAGGGAAGAGCCCACGTTGTAAAAGAGAAGCTTACAAGGGGGAAGCGACCAGCACCTGGCCCATCGAAGGCGTTGTTGAGTCCATCGTTGTGGTCCCCGTGGAAGAAGGTGAGGCGGATGTCAGCAGGGCCGTCCTGTGCCTCCCAGAAGAGCAGGGAGGACACGTTGCTCCAGAGCTCGAAGGCGGCTCTGACGGCCAGGCGCACCTCGTGCTGGGGCAGGTAGGACGGCCAGTTCACCACCCGGTACGTCAGGTGCCGCTTGGACCAGCGCCCACCTGCAACGGGACGAGCTCAGCAACGGCCACCTGGGCTCGTCCTGCCACCCAGGGGCTGCCTGGCTGGAGGAAAACTTCATGGAAATGTCGTGGTTTTTCCCAAGACAAAGATGGAAGTTGAGGCAGGTGCAACACCGTGATGAAATCCTTCTGAATCCTTCTTCCCACCCAAGGCTGGAGTTGCAACCAAACCCTGAAACCTCTCTGAGGAGAGGAGAAGATGTGGCACCAAGTTTGAGCTCGGCCTTTGGCTCATCATCCTCTCCAGAGCCAAATCCAGCATGGGTCCCTGCTAGGAGGTCTGCTACCTGAAACCAGCTCCGAGTCCAGGAGATGCAGTCCAAGGGCTGGATTTCAGGGAGAGGAATCCAATCCACCTCTGAAAAGGTGGGACAAAGGCAAAAGAGTGGGAAGGGCTCTCAGTAGCACCTTGGGGGCACAGGTGAGTGCCCAAGGCTTCCTTGAAAGCTTTCAGGGGAGACAGAGCCCTGATACCACCAGGACAGATGGGGACAAGGGTGAAGGGGACAAGCCTTGTGACTCCCCCTAAGCTCCCCAGCTCCCCTACCACACAGGAAGGCAAAGATGAGAGTTCAGAGTCACTGAGCAGCATCACAGCACCCTGTTACTCCTCCTCCTCCTCCAGCACCCCTCAGCATCTGTGGGACCCCAGAGCCTTAGGATTACATTTATCTGGAGGCATCTGGGAGCAGGAAAAAAGCCGTGGGGCCCTAGGGGGATGTGGGTGCCAGAGCCGGTGCTGAGGCGTGGGAGTGGTGACAGACCTCCAGCATCTGCCTCTGCTCCAGATGTGCAGGAAAACAGGGGGAACAGGGCTGGCAGCACGCTGGGGCTCACTGCCCTGGATCTGAGCTGAGCCTCCCAGCAAACCCGCCTGACATCCCACCCCTGCTCTGCCTCCTTCTCCCCCATTTCTGAGTAGCCCGTGGCTGGGGACACTCTGGACTAACTGGTCACACTCCTGGCGACAGAATGAGTTCCCACTGTTTGTCAGTGCAATGATGGCATCCAGCTCCTAAGGGACACAGATGAGCTCCTACTCTGCACAGCAAAAGCTGAAGGCTGCCTGGATGGCTGCAGCCCTAAAACAAAGCCTGGCATCCCATCCTTCCCTCCACAGGAGCAGAGCATCTGCCACCAGAGGATGGGCAAGGCTGGGTTGGCAAGTCTGGCTCTCGGGAAGAGGAGCCCCCGTGCTGGGCTCTGAGTGTGCCCCAAGCCAGCAGGATGAGGGACACAGAGGCTGCCCAGGGAAGATCCCGCTGGGAGAAGGGTGGATAACAAAGCACTTTGCTGGCTCAGCTGCCAGGTTTTCCTGCTCCAAGCAGGATAAACAGCACAAAGCCTCCAGCCTTCCTGGCTGGTGCCACCAGGCACCCCCTGTCCCCATCCAGCCCTTGGCTACTGATGTGGTGTTGCTCCTATCCCTGCTGCCTGTGGCATCAGATCCCCAGAGCAATGACCAGTGCCACACTGAGCCCTTTTCTGCCCTCTCCTTGAGCCATTGGGCATCTCTTGCCACCCACCTACACAAGTGATCCCCTAAAAGGAGCCCCATGAGCCACAGGGCACTGGCTGCTTCTGCTTGCCCATCTCCTGCTCTGTGTCCTTCCTGCTCTGCCCACATGTCCTGGGCACAGGATGGCTCCTGCAAGGAACATGCTGCATGTTGGGGCTCTGGAAGGAAATCCAGAGGCTGGAGGAGGATGACAGAGCTCTCCTGGGGCTGTCCATTGCCAGCCCTGACAGATGCATAGCCAGCCTGACACGGCACAGAGCCTGTTCTTAATCTCCCCTTCCTTTTTCCCATGTCCTAAGCACAGCTGGCCCCGGAATCTTGCTCTCTAGGAATCCAGTTACTCATCTGCAAGCCCAAAGAGAGCTCCCAAGGGACAAGAGGCCCAGTCCTGGACACACAGGAGAACAGAAGGATGCTTGGAGCAGAATTAAACCCCTTAACATGGGTGAAAAGACTCTTGGGTCAGGCAGCCAAGTGTTGGCAGGTTTTTGGTTACTGCTGCGTCCCTAATATGCATTAGAAGTCCCAAAGGTCAGCAAAACCTGGAGATAATTTCACCTCATGCCAGTCCCTGCCCTCCAAGTCATGCCAGCACAGCTGAGTGTGGGGCCATGGTGACCTGAGTGCCCTCTGGGACATGTCCTGCCTCCCACAGCAGGAGCAAAATCAACCCCCAGAGCCAAATTCCCCCACGAGTGGGAGTCACATCTCTAATCACTGCTGACATCAAGCCACAGAGACCAACTGAAAATAAAGAGCTTTAAAAATAACCTCCAAGTGTGTCCGGGGCTGGATGCTGTGCCAGTGGGACTGCACCTCCCACCCACAGCAGCTTCCCCACGAGTCCAGGACGGGAGAGCCGAGCACCCCAGACCCAAACCCCACCGGGAGCCCCGGTGCCGGTGCTCTCACCGTGCTGTGCCGTGCGCCGGCGGCGCCGGCCGGGGGATACCCGGCTGTCCCCGTCCTCGGTGCCACACCTCGGCAGAGCCATCTGATGGAGGGTGCGGGCATCCAGCACCCCGCTGAGGGGCAGGTGGGTCACCCGCTGGAAATCCCTGCGAAAGGAAGGGAGATATCAGCACCCAGAACCCCCGAGGGGGGGTTTGGTTATGTCTGAGCCAGGATTTTCACCCCACAAGCTTCAGACCCCAGCATCAGAACTTCATCCCGTTGGCAAAACAAGGATTTGGCTCTGCAACCACAGCTGATCTGTAAGTCACCTCCTAGCAGGGCAAAAGCAAATAGGTGAGCCTAAAAATGCATTTTCGAGTTTTCAACTCCGGTTATTTGACTTCGCGTTTAACTTTGCATTTGGCTTTGTGCAAGGTCAGGCCCGGGATGCTCCCAGAGCCGAGGTGATGTCCTTAGGAGAAGTCCAGGCAGGAGCTGGCAGATCGCCCCCCTGACATCTCCCAGCCGTCCCCAAGCTCGGCCTCCCCGCAGATTTTATTGCGAGGCGAGCACCGGGCCATAAAAGGCAAATAAAGCAGCGAGAGCCGGGTGCCAGCAGCCGGCACCCAGCTGCGGGAGCCGGGCACGGACCCGCCTTTCCAAAAAGGACTGGCTGTGCTTTAGCATCAGACCGTGAGACAGAGGGCTTCCAGCTGCAAGAAGACTCCTCTGGTTGCAAAAAAAGCCCCTCGGAGTGCTGGCAGCATCCCTGCAGCTCTGACTGCAGCGTACAATAAAAGGCTCCTACCTCAGCGCCTCGCTGAACTCGGCGGGGCTGTGTGTGCCGGCCCCCGGCTCGCTGAAGTAGCCGTATTTCTCCAGGAAGAGCTGCAAGAAAAAAAAATGGGAAATGTGCAGCTCAGAGCACGTGCTGGCTTGGGAAGCGGGAGGAAAGGAGATGAGGTGGCAAACAGCTCTGCAAACCCAAAATGCCCACTCGTTTTGCCCCTGAGAGCTCTGCACCTCCAGCAGCCGCACCTCCTGCGCCCGTGCAGGTTCCTGTGTGTCTCCTCCCCATCATTTTGGATGGCTCTTGGGGTTTTTGGCCACGACGCGATGGAGGCGTAGGAGGAAAAGAGAGAGCTGGAAAAACCTCTGCTGCCATGTCATCCGCAGCCAGAGGCGACCAAACCCACAGCTCTAATCGCCCCGGCTCAACGCAGTGATTCCAACAAAGGCCGAAGTGCTGCGGCCATGGGTAGGGCGGGGTGAGATGGGGTCAGGCTCAGCCTCCCCCCATTCCCACGCAGGATGTGCTGATGCAAAGTGGGGAGGCTCCGGGCTCAATTCGCTTTGCCAAACCATTCTTCTTCTTATCGGTCGTTGACACGGACGGAGATCGCCTCTCTGAACTTGCTCCAGCACTTAAATTGTATGTTAAAGAAAATAAACGGCTCAGGCTGCTGCCCAGCTTTTGGAGGAGTTAATAGCTGGGGTCACAGGAATGCTCCACGCCCGCCTGCCCCGCCGCCAGGGATGTCTGCAGGAGACAAACAAGCTGCCCAGCATCCTGTTAGTGCAGCAGAGCTGCAGTTACAGCAATGAATAATAATCAGAATAAAAAGTGAAAGTGGCGGCTTCCTTTCCCCGCATCCCAAAGGAGAGCTGTGCTGAGCACCGGGAGTGCCGCGGGCTGACCCAGATAGCACGGCTGGTGCCCTCTGGGAAAACGAGTGTTTTTAAAGCTGTTTCCCTCCTGGCTCATCCCAGGGCCGGGAAAAGGAGGCGTTTGGAGTGTTGACCTCCTCTCAGTGCTGCTCCCGACTGTGGGTGACCCAGTTCTCCTTCATGTCCCTGCAGAGGAGGCAGCAGCGCTTCCTGGGCCCTGTCACCCGGCAGGAGCAGGAATGGTCTGTGGATGTGGCACTCCCGAGCTGTGCCAGGGCCTCTCCCTCTCCTCCTCCTGCCCAAACCTTCTGCTTGCCGTGCACAGTCATCTTCACGTCATCCCCAAACACGTCACCCCCGCGTGGGCAGGGCAGGCACATCCAGGTGTGCTCTGCCGACCTCATCTCCTCCAGTTTCATCTCCTCCTTTACTCCCCTTCTACCTGGAGCATCCCCCTCCGGCAGAGGACCTGCACAGATTCCTGCCTGGACACGGTCTTCGCTCAGCCCCACACAAAGAATTTGGCTGTTTTTCCCACCAAAGCCTCCTGTCTCAGCTGGAGGCACCAGCACCTCATCCCAGCAGCACCAGGCTGCAGCAGCAAGAGCCTGAGCATGGCCAGAGCCACCCTGACACCTCACACTGGTCCAGTGAGACAGGATAAATCAGACAAGTGTCACAGAGCAGGGAGAGCACTAGCTTGTTTGTCAGGAGAAGCCACAACAGTTCTGCCCAGTATGGACTATCCAACCTGGATTTGCCATTGCCCAGCCACACCGAGATAACCCCACATTTACAGGGGTACCAGGAGGCAAAATCCAGCAGCAGCTCGGGATGAGCATGCAGGGATGGAGGATGTGGGGATGGAAGAGCATCCTGGGGATGGGGTGGCTTGGAGCCCTCTGAGGGTATCTGGAGAGGAGAAGGAATCTGGCCTTTTTTTCTGTGCTTGTATTTTTATAAAGTTCTCCTCCAGAAGCACAAAATCACCAGTTACATATAAGGGTGCAGGGTGAAGATCCCAGTGGTGACATCACTGCAGATAAATGTGAGCTGAGAACACTCAGATGGAAAGTCCTGGCTCTCACATCATGGTCTGAACCTTCCCTAACACAATTTTGCATTCACTCAGCACAACCTGAAGCTCTTTCCTTGCCTGTAACTCAACACAATCCCATCCTTAAAGCGTGAAAATGGTTTTTCCTCACCATGATCTCATGAAGGCTTGAAACCCCATCTGGACATGTCAGGTGCACAGTGAAAAAAGCAACCCCTGTCCCAGCAGCTGCTCTTGAGCAGCACCAGAAGGCACAGAGGCCACTGGCTTTATCATTCCTGCCCAGAGCTCCTTGAGCTTTGCAAGTCCAAGCAAAGCTGCATTTTCTCTGTGGTTTCTGGCCTGTGCCACATTGAGGCTCTCACACACAGGTACCAACTCTCCAACTGCAAAACTATCAGGAGAAATTTTATTATGTTTTCTAGACATATCTACTGTCAGCTAAAGGTGAGGATGGTCCTGGAAGCACAGGAGAGGGATGTGCTGATTCCCCACTCCATCAGGTATTTATCCAAGCACAGAGCATACAAATCCAAGGAGTTTTTGGGGTCCAGGGGAACCCAAGAGCCCCATGCCACGGTGTCCCGTGCCCAAACCAGTGCTCAAGGCTCCCCCAGCACTGCACAACCCCCCAGGCTCTGGCAGGGCTGGCTGGAATCTGGCACCAGCCCATTAAATCTCTCCAGAGGCTGCAATGTAAAGACTGGCCGTGCTGGGAAAGCCCCCTCCCTCCTGCCCCAGATGGGGAAATGCTCTTTTCCATACAATGGGAAAAGAAAAACAGCAGGAAACGAAGAGAAACATTAATATGAAATATGCCCAGCTCCCTCTGTGCGTGAGGGAGGGAGAGGAGGACGGATCTGCCTGGGCTGCCTGGGAGCCAGTGCTGGGGCAGAGAATCCTCCGGGGCTGCAGCAGGGACAGCGGGAGGAGTCTGGGGCAGACAGAGGGGCCCTTCCCATCCCAGGGCTCTGATGGGGATGGAGCCTGTTGCAACCCTGGAAATCATCTCTGCCTTGGCTACAGCCAAGGAAACACCTTGGCCTCGACCACAAGCATCCACAATGTGGAAGACAGCCAGCAGCAAATACAATTAGTCCTCCCTGCCTGGAAACGGGGATAACGAGAGTGCCGAGACAGCAGGCTCGGCTCCTGCCTGCCCTCCCCTCCAGACACGCCGGTTCTGGCTCCTTTCCACCAGCCAAGTACCGGAGAAGCCTCACACTGAGCTCCTGCTGACCCTGGTCCCTCTGCTCTGCCGGGGACAAATCCCATCTGTCCCCTCCATCCCCCGCAGCGCAGGGAAGCGATCCCACCCTGCCGATGGGTTTTGTGTCATGATTACAGGATGCCACCACAAGCTGCACCTTTTGTTTTAAATCATGAGACAGCCCAGGTGGATTCTAAACCCTGGTTCCAGCATCCCCAGGCTCATCCCACATCATCTCGCCACCAAAATGGGCACAGTGGCTCCTGCTTTTCATCCTCAGTTTCCTCCAGCACACACACTAGGAGAGCCTGGGGCGTGTTTTGGGGTGGTCACAGAAGGAGCAGCGGCTCCTCCTGTCCATCGGGCCCCTGCTGCCTGCGAGCTGCCTCCAGAAGATGTCACATCAATTAAAAATGCTCATTCGCTTCCGCTCATCCCTGCAAAGCCTCAGGCAGAATCCCCGCGCCGCTTTTGTTTAAGTGTGTGTGTAAGTATCTCCATAAATATTATATCTATAGACACACGAGAAGGGGCATTAGCGAGCACAGAGCCTGGCTGTCCTCCCGCTGAAAAGGCAGCGAAATCTCAGCTGATTTTCTGTCCTGGTGAAGGAGCGTGGTTACAGCCCCCAGCCCGTCTGCCTGCTCGGATGTTCCCCTGTTCCTAACCCGGGCCTGAAGGAATCTCCTGTCCCGCCTACCACCCCTAAAAATCTACTTTAACAGCAAATAACCCACTTACCACTAAGGATGCAGAGTTGGGGTCTTCTAAACTCCTTTTATTTTCACACTCGATCTTCTAAAGCTGAGAAGCAGTAAGCCAGGTCTAGCTAAACCCCCTCCTGGTTCCACTAACCCTTTGGATGTGGCTTGGTCTAGTGGAAGTGTCCCTGCTCATGGCAGGGGGTGGAATGAGATGAGCTTTAAGGTCCCTCCCAAACCAATCCATGATTCTATGATAACTCATTGGGAAGCAGCTGGCAGCTCTGCCCTGGCACCCCCAGCACCCCACACCACCCGCAGCACCAAAACTCCTGAAAGCGACAAAAACACTTGAGGAAAACAGGGAAAAACACCGGGCTTGGCCAAACCTTCCCCTGCGAATACCAGAGCGGCTGACAAACCAGTTCGGTCACGCAGCCTGGTTGTGTTTTCGTGTCTGGGGAGAGAAAGGAAACGAGTCGTGCCCTCCACCGGGGTGGGAGCCGGGGGAAGGCGCCGGCCCCGCTGCCGGGGCCGCGGCTCCTTGCCCGGCGGGCGATATTTGCCCTAACAAGTGGGGATTGTTTTGGGGGAGAAGCAGGAAGAAAGCCGGGCTGTTCGTGCTGCGGTGACTCACGGGGTGTAAATCACACCGGGGGATTGCCGGGCCACATCCGCAGTCCCATGGGTGCTGCAGAGCCCAGGGATGCCTCGAAGAGGAAATTCCTCCTCCTCTCCACCTCTCCTTCCATCGCCGTGCTGAGGCTGAACAGAGGGGATTTTTTACAGGAAGGAGGATTTTTCCTCTTTATTTCAGAAGGAAAACGTGGGATGCTCTGGCGTCCGAGCCCCACCGTGTCTGCGTGGTACCCGGGACCCTCCCTCCATCCAGCTGTGCTCAGCATCCTGCATCCCAACTCGCTCCCTAAAGCAGCTCAGCCGGACACTGGAGCATTTCCCAGCACAAACACGGCCCAGAGCCCGAAATGTGAGACTTTGGTTTGATAAAGGGGAGAAGTCCGTGTGTACCAGATGCTGCAAGATGGGAAGAAAGGCAGGACAGGGGGAAAAAATGGAAAAAAAAATCCAAAATTATAATTATTCAGTCCATTAGTCCAGTTCTCTATTCCTGTTCCCTGTTTTTCTCAAATTTCTCCCCAGTTTTTATTTCCACCAAAACAGACCTGGAGCTTCTCACACAAATCTCTGCAGGAACTTCATTGTCCTTTGTCCTTGGCTCCACCAGCACCTCATCGTGCTCCTCACTCCCACCACGGGCTGAGATCTCACATGCTCTGTGTATTTTACACAATTCCCCAGGGATCAGGGAATCTCGGGCATTGCCACCCCCCCAGTTGCTGTCTGAGCACAGCTCAGCCAGACACCAGCCCTGCCAAACAATGTGCTCTTTACATTTGGGCCCTCTCCTAGCTGTAGATGATAAGATGATTTCACATACAAATGTTTCAAATTAAATTTTCTAATTTTCCTTTTTTTTTTTTAATGTGTATTTTTAAACTGCAATTGATATGGATGCAGTGAAAACATGGGCACCAGCCAGGAAAAGCACACAACTTTCACAGTCTTATGCCTCAAAGTTTACACAACCTATTGTTGTTAACTGTGGCTTTTTAAAATGAATTTTAAAAAAAGCTTTAGAACCAAAGCCTGGAAGTGCTCTGAAAGCCACAAGTCACAAGAACTATTTGATGTTATGTGAGAATTTCAGCTTCCTCCTAAAAGAAAATTAACTGCCCAGTTTATTTAGGCTAGTTCCACACCCCAGTCTTTGCATTTCCATTGTGTTTGCTGTCCCAAAGTCTCTGGCCAGCACAGCACAGCCCCTTGGGGAAACTGAGGCAGGAAAAGTCACTTGCCCAGCACCTCCTCACGAGGGATCTGCCACAATTCTGGGATCTGTTCTGAAGCTTCAAGGGAAAAGAACTCAGAAGGCACTAATGAGGGGTAGAAAGGCTGAAAGGTAGAAAGTCTGGATTGTTAAACCAGTTGTTCTCAATCAGTTTACTTTCTTTTTAAAGTGAATTTTAAATTATTGGTTTTCTGAGCATGAAAATCTTTGCAGATTTATTTTCTCCAGGTGGCATGAGGGGCTGGGCTGAGGTTTGTGCACAGTGGAAAAAGCACAACTCTTAATGACCTCTCTGAAGCAGCATCTCCCAGCAGAAGAAAACAATGCACATGAAAACAAGCCTCTGAGCATTCCTGTGCCCTTTTCCTCTCAGAGCATGTCTTCAAAATCCCAGTTAATTCACCAGGACTTGCTGGCTGGGGTTGAAAATTAAGCATTTGTGCAAATGTACACTGGACTGAGGCCTAAACAAGAAAAAAATTTGTTCACCGGCCAAATCTCACACCTCGTCCTCCCAAAACAAACAGGAATGGACGGTGGCACAGGGTGACAATGACAGCAGGACAAACAGAAGAAATCCAAACACAGGTGATGGGGACAGCCCTGGGGAGAGGCAGGCAGAGGAAGGACTGGCTTTTGTCCCCTCCTGATACTCTGAGTGATGGGAAGGTTTCCTCGTGCATGAGTTCTGTTGCTGGAGCTGTGTGGCAGGGTGAGTTTGCAGGTGCACATCACCTGTGAGACACCTGCACACACCCTGAGAGAGCTGGAGTGTTCCAGCCTGGACAAGAAAAGGCTCCAGGGACACACAGAGCCCCATCCTGTGCCTAAAGGGGCTCCAAGAGAGCTCGAGAGGGACTTTGGACAAGGGCAAGGAGAGATAGGACAAAGAGGAATGGCTGAAGCTGAAGTAGGGCAGACTTAGATTAGATATTGGGAAGGAATTCTTCTCTGTGAGGGTGGAGAGGCCCTGGCACAGGGTGCCCAGAGCAGCTGTGGCTGTCCCATCCCTGGAAGTGTTCCAGGCCAGGTTGGACAGGGCTTGGAGCAACCTGGGCTAGTGGAAGTGTCCCTGCCCACAGCAGGGGGTGAAATGGGATGAGTTTAGGTCCATTCTAACCCAAACCAGTCTGTGATTCTCTGCCACACAAGTGCATGAGACCACACACCCTGGCATTCCAACACAACCCTATGGCACAGCCACACACCTGTGCCACACACACTGCGGGTACCCAGGACACACGTGGAGGCTCAGGTGTCAGGAGCTCGTGGGCACTCACCTGTGGTGGGGATGTACCTGGGGACACATTCATACCTATGGCATGGGCACAGCAGGGACACGGGCACACCAGGGACTGGCACACCTGGGGCAAAGACACACCCACGGCATGGGCACACAGGGATATGGGCACACCAGGGACACAGTGACACCTGGGGCATGGACACACCTGTTACACAGTCACACCAGGGACAGTCACACCAGGGACACGGGCACACCGGAGCAAAGACACACCCATGGCACGGGCACACAGGGATATGCGCACACCTGGCAGGACATGGGCACACCTATGGCATGGGCACCCCAGGGACAGCCACATCCAGAGCGGGGACACATCTATGGCACGGACTCAGCGGGGACACGCACACACCCAGGACACGCTCCCGCCCCTCCCCGCCGCTGCCGGTGCCGGTGCCGGTGCCGCTCCTACCTCTGCCTGCCGCCGCTGTCCCGTGGCCGGTGCGGGCTGAGCAGCCGCCAGCAGCCCCAGTGCCAGGGCGGCCCGCAGCGTCCCGGCCATCCCGGCTCCGCTCCCGCCGCTCCGCTCCGCTCCCGCCGCCGCCCCAGCCGCCTCTCCCCGCCCCGGCCCCGGGGGCGGCCCCAGCCCCAGCCCCGGCCGAGGGCCGGGCTCCGGCAGCGGCACCGAGCGGAGGGGCTGTCCCTGCTCGGGGCAATGACCCGGGCATGCCCTGGCCCCCGCCCCCGGGAGCATCCCGCTGCCGGTGCGTCTTTCCTTGGGCCAGGCGGGACAGTGGCGCTGCCCGGTGTGAAGCTGTGAAAAGAGGAGAAAGCAATTCCAGCTTTTCCTAAAGTTGTGTTCATCCAGCACACGTGGATGCAGGGTTTGGAGGCCGGGGGTCTCTGTGCCATGAGCTCTGCAACACAGAAGGCTGGGCCAGCAGTGCAGCCCCTCTTCAGGGGGTCTGGCAAAATCTACACATTAGAGCAGTGCTCTCTCAAGCTTTTCGTAATAACCACACACTCAGGGTTGTGGTTTACACTCTCAGGGTTGTGGTTTACACTCTCAGGGCTGTGATTTACACTCTCAGGGTTGTGGTTTACACTCCCAGGGTTGTGGTTTACACTCTCAGGGTTGTGGTTTACACTCTCAGGGCTGTGATTTACACTCTCAGGGTTGTGGTTTGCACCCCCAGGGTTGTGATTTACACTCTCAGGATTGTGATTTGCACTCCCAGGGTTGTGGTTTACACTCTTTCTGCTTAAATCTCCCTGCCAAGCACGGGATGTATTTGTCAGTGAGCAAGGAGGGCTGTTTGGTGCACTCCTGCCAGTGTCACAGCTCTCCTGCAGCTCACGCACAGCTGATGATCTCGAGGGTTGCAGTGACAAGTCAACAGCTCTGTTTACTCACAGCGGTATTTTGTTTGACTATTTTGTTTTAATTTGACTAAAGCAATAGGATGTTTTGATTCTACTTTGGTTCAAGGGGAAAAAATAGGATGTGACTTGTGTCTGCTTTTGTTTTCATGCCAGCTTTAACCCCACACCTATTTTAAAGCTCCCAGGCGCCTTCCTCCACTTTTTAATCGTGCCAAAACCAGAAGTTACAGAAGCATCTGTTGAGTGCAGCTTGAAGAGAGTTGCAGAGAGCCTGTGACACTGCTTTACAGCTGGACAGAGATGTAGGGAAGGGAAGCAGGATTTGAAGGAGAGAAAAAGTGATACACATAACATGGAAAAATGGGGAAGTCACTGAGCTATAAGATAACAAATATGGGAGAAATGAAAGTTTTGGGGCTGGGCCAGCAAGAACTGACTGAGGAGCTGCTGAAGAGCACAGTGGGCAGTTGGCAGAGCCTGAGGGATGGTGTGAGGGGAATACTCAGCCCTGGCAGAGGTAGAGCCAAGGGACGGCTGCTCCTCACACAGGTCAGCCTCATGCTTCCTTTCAAAACAAGAGCAGCTCTGTCTGCAAACGCATCCGTGTTTGCGTCGTATCTAGGAAGCAACTGATCCATCTGCTCTTCCACTTAAGAATATGGATGATGAGAAAGTGACTGGCTGGGCTCCAGCAGGAGCAGGAAACTCCCTCCTCTGCTCATTGTATTGTGGGGAAGTGTCTGGGAGGGCACCTGCAGCCCCTGGAGCCGCCAGCTTTCCGACCGGGCATTTCCCGGGGCTGCTGCCTCGGTCCTCAGGGGTTTTGGCATTCAGATGGAGAAGAATTCAGCCCAGCCTTGGGGATGCCAAATCATAGTTCTCTGCAGGCTTTTGGCTGGGAGTATAAAGATGTTTATCCAGCTGCTGCAATCAGAGTGGTATCAGGAACAGAAATATTATCTCACGGAAAGGTGGACAGATTTCCAGATTTTTCAGTGTTAGGTGAAAGATCAGAAATAGGGCAAAAAAAATTTCAGTGCTTGTAACTTCTACCCCAAAACTGAAACCTGACAAGTCAAGCCTGTGGCGGAGAACAAACAAAATCTTGTAGTAAAATATTCACAAAGAGCATGATAAATAGATTCCTACAAGCTCTGGTTGCCTAATCACTCCTGATTTCTTGGGTTTCTAGAGAAAATCCCTTCTCCTCTCAGTTTAACTCAAAAGACCTCAGTGCACTCACTGAGCTCAATTTCCTAAAGACACCTCCCAGCTCGGAGATCCAGTGTTCCTAATTTAATACCATTTGCATATTGACCTGTAAACATCACAGAGAACTAAAGGCCACTACCACAGGTGTGGGGTCTGGAATGGGGGAGGCTGGTCTGTCCATAGGGGCACATAAAGAGCAGCTGAGCACTGCAGAGAGAAGAGCTGAGGCACCAGTGGATCCCTGTCTGAGGTGAGATCCAAGAGTTCATAAACCAACATTATGAAACAGCTCTTGTGACGTGAGCTGTCTCAGAGCAGCTCTGAGTGTTTATCAGAACTGATAAGCAAATAGCAACCCCATTACTCCTCTGTTGCAGTTCCTACCCAAGATGGATGTGATGCAAGAACCTACCACCAAAAACCTCCAAAGCTCTGCAGTGAGAATGGGTTCAAGTTCTTCCCTTTCATCCTCTTGAGAACAGCCCTTCTTCAGATGTTTGCTGCTGTACAGCAGCAGAATGGCTCAGTGGGTGCTGTTGTCAGGCAATGCCCAAAATCCTCATCCTGCTGCTGGAAAGTGGCCAGAGCTGAGACTTTGGATTGGGTCAGACTGGCACAGTCACAGCTTTCCCTCCCAACTCCAGCTTGCAAGAGTCAAATTCTTTACCAAGGCATGAGCAGCTTAACGTTCCTTGGGTTGTCACAAGAGTGAAGCTTTTCTGCTCAGACAGTTTTCTGGGAACTTCATTCACACACACTAAGTTCTCACAGGTCAAAGGACTTTCCTGCGTCCTTAAAATGTGTTAGAAAGTCTGTTTTGCTCAGTATCCTGTCTCAAACAGAGCCAGGAACAGACACTCACCACAAGGGTGCTAAAGAGAAAATGCAAAGTCCGCACAGACTTCCCTTGGCTTTAACTTTTGTGTGCGGAGTTCCTGGAAGTCCATGAGGTCAAGAAGCTGCATCCAGCTGATGAGCCCTCCCCTGAACACACCAATTTGCTGCAGCAGTTTGAATCTCACTGATATTTGCTTGGCTAACAGCCAAAAACATGCATGTCTTTCTAGGATCAGGGTGGCACCTGAGATCCAGCAAACATCATCACCTTGGTATGAAAAGGGGTTTTAAGCAGTTCTGAGTGCATTCTGACAGCTGTGTTTTATTACAGCAGCTTTACAAACAACTGCTACAGCAGCATTAGCAACATCATCTACTGGGACATCATCACATGGGCTCTGTTACCCTGGAAATGGGAATTATCAGTTCTAGATTAGGCAAAGCAGCACTGGCTGGATCCTGGCCTCAAACTCCTGGAGACTTGAGAGATTGGCTTCAGTCATTGCCCCCATATCTCTCTTTAGGACTGTGGTATTTGAGCAACTTAAAGTTGCATTTCTTCTGAGGGTGAGGTGGGTTTGGCTGCAGAGGCCCGGCATGGAAACTATTTGTCTCTGAAAATGTTTAGCTACTATTTTATATAGGAGTGGCATTTCAGCTCTCTAAGGATCACATGCCACTCCTGCATTGGCATCCTTCTTTCCTCCACCAAGTGTTTGTTGAGCTTGGCAAGTGCTAGACCTGTTTTTATAAATAAACCACTAGCATTCCACACAGGACTGATTTCCAAAACGAAACCCTTGCCACTGAGAAAATGTATTATTGGAAGATGGAGCATAGAGATGAAGGCAGATCAGAGCTCCCAGCTATGCTGAGAACAACCCAAACTGCTCCTTTCTGTTGAGACAGATTCTCCTGATTTTCCACCTCCTGACAGGACAGATCTACTGTCCTATCCCTCCTTAGTCTGTAATTTTATTATAGGAAATCCTGCCAAATCCTCACACAGCACTGGGAAGAACTATAATTAATTCAATCCTTAATATACTATATTTTTAAAGTTTTTTACTTTCCTTTTAACTTCAGTTAAAGTCCTGGCAAACTTTAGGCATCTGTGGAGAAAACTTGCAGGACCAAAGGACTTGGCAGAAGTAGTTGAAGGGCAATGACATAGTTAAACCATCATCTGGGTTTATATGTTTTACAGAAAATCTTCCCAGGCCTCTCTGAGCTAATTTAACTCTCACTGCACCAAAGGCAAGTAAAACAACCCATCGAGCCAGTTTCTATGTCCTGCTGATTTTCTGAAAGACCAAGCAGCTGCTGAAGGTGTCTTAAAAACCATGCAAGAACTCGGGTTGTTTTGCCCCAGTGTAGAACAGAACATAAACAAGTGCTCAGCATCATTGCCAGGCTGGAAAAGCTGAGAAGGTGGTGACAGCTCCAGTTTTGTGGCTCACTTGAAGACTCATCTACTTGGTAATCGTGGGCAGTGACTGAAGAGGAAAGTGCTCTTAGCCTGGGGGAGAAAGCAGGGTTGGAAGCTGAACTGGCAGCTACAACTGTTACTCCCCATACTGGAAGCACCAGCTCTTTGAACCTCCAAGCCCTTCTCCAGGAGGGAAAAGCCAGAGCCCCACCAGGGAACTGCAGGGAGCAGAGGGGTGATGCTGCCCCAGCCCTGGGTTTTGCTCAGCTCAGCCATTCCCAATTCTGTGCCCAGCTCTGAGGGCTCCAGTTGCACCCTGGAGTGCAAAGTGTCAGCTCTGCTGGGGAACAAACCTCAGCAGGGATACTGAGGCTATTCTCAGCAGCTGATTCCTGCTTTCTTTCCATCCTATCCAGCTGGCACCATTCCTGCATCTGCCAGCACAGAGTGGGCAAGAGCACCCTCTAGCCTCTTCCCTCCAAACAGTAACTCCAGCTTCAAAACCAGCAGCATCCAACTTCTCTAGGCTAGCAAAACAACAGATACTGAATTGATCAACTTTGAACCCTCACATGCCATACATTGGATTTCATACTGTCACTAGTTACATATATACCTCAAATTCCACTGTTTTAAGAGCAACAAGGTGACCACAATCTGTGACAAATGCCTTTTCTAACAGAGCAGATGCTTTCCAGGAG